GGAAGTTAAAACCTTTGGACTTTGGAAATCCCACTAAGAAAACAAAGTCGAGATGGTGAGATGCCCAACGGGCGAAGGTGCTTACCACCAAGTCAAGCAACCTGAGTTTGATCTCTGGAATCTACCTAGCAGAAGGAGAGAAGGACAACCCAAAAGTTGCCCTCTGCCCTTCACACATGCTGGGGCACACACAGACATGTACAGACACAATTAATTAATTCATATAGAACAAAGCAAATGACAGAGTGGGAAGAACATTCCAAAATCTGTATTTGACAAAAGATTTGTCTACCCAAAATATTTAAAGAAATTTTACAAAGCACTAAGATTATGACCCCCTGAAACAAAGGGCAAGACAGTGCAGAGGTTCTTTCGTCTTGTATTCTTACTGAGGCCATTTCAGGTTTAACTAGAATTTCATCTCCTTGATGGAGACTCTGTGGGAAATTACCCAACTCTATTCCAGGACCTGAGGCCAAGATGCCCCAGCTAACTGATTACCTTAGCTTCTGTTAAACTGCCTGCTTGGGCAAACCTCCCCTTGCAACTGCTGAGTGAGGTACCAGGATGTGGATTTTGTCCTTAAAAACCTCTTGGTCTAAAAGCTCAGGGGCTACATTTGGGTTCTCAAATATCTGAGTGTGGGAACAAAGACTCAGTTGGCTAGAAACTGTGGCTTGGTGCTTATCTCTTGTAGGCTCCCTGTAACAAGATGATCCCCTGCCCCTGGGGGGAGGGGGGACACCTCAATCAGAAAATGGTAAAGACATTTGGATACTGCACAAAAAAGAGAAAGAAAAAAGAAAAAAGAAAAACCCAACAGCACTGTCACAGGACAAGAATGACCAGAGAGGAGAGCAGCAGGCTGCTGGGAAAGCCAGGCTGAGGCCCAAGGTGGCTCCAACTGACCCACCCGAAGTCACAGACTACCACGGAGGCAATAGTCCTGAGGCCAGTTTAGAGAGAGAAGGGGCTTGCCTCCACCCCACAGGAAGGAGGAAACATGGCTCACATAGGAACAAGTCTGATTTCAGCCAGGAAGGAGGCACTCCGGCAGGGAGATGGAGTCCTGTGTGGATTCTTCTGCTCCCTGTCTGCTGGTGCCTGCAGGTGATTGCTCTGTCAGAAACGACATTCAGATGTTAGGTTATGGAAACAGCAGGCCCGAGGAACTGGAATTTCTCCAGGAATCTCATGCTGAAAAGGAAAAGGCTGAGGCTTGATGCCAGGTACAGCGCAGCGGGGTGTCTTGTCTCCCAGGAAGAGAGTCATCACAGTTGGGATAACCTTGCAGGAGAGACCGGAGCTGAAATAACGGCGGGTCAGTGATGGGGGAACCACACCTTGACCAGAATTGCTGAGTTATGCACACCTCTTATCCTCTATTTGAACCTGAGCCTTGTGTCAGGACCCTGGAGATGGACTTGGAGGGTCACTGGACCTCTTTATCTGTCTTCCAATATGACCACGTTGAATAAACCCCCTCTGCTTCTTGCTTTTTACTTTGTCTCTTTAACTGGGCTGTTGAGGATAAATGACTGAGTTTATCTTGTAGCCTGGGCTCCGACCCTAGAGCTCCAGTTAACAGCAGGACACCCTGGGTGATCCCAGATACCTACCTCAAAGAGGCGCAGGCAGATCTAGCTGTAAAGATGAAACCTGAGGTATGAAGACAAGGGTGGGCCGCAGAAGACTGACCACCCCTGGATTCTGGCTCTTCCTCTTTTCCCTGCTGACCAGGGTGGGCACCTGGGAAGGCTTTGGTGAAGGGAGTCTGAGACGCTGGTGAAAATGGCAAATAAATAGTCCCAGATCCAGCACAGCCCTCCAAGCCCTCACCTGGAGGACTGGGGCGGGGGTTCTTCTGTGCATGATAGTGCACAAGAAGTGCATGATAGTGCAAAGCCAGTCTGGTCCCAGCATGTTACCACAGCCCTTTCCACAGCCAGAGATGCTGTCACCACACAGCCAAGGAGGCGGAGACCTTTGCTGTCCTCACACCTGTCTTCACTTCTCATGAATCTGTGCCGTCTGAGCAGTGGAAGTAAATGTGGTGCTGGTTCTGGCTGGTCACTCGGGGAGCCAAAGCCCACCGGAGGGTCCTTGCTTGGCCCTTTCGTATACCCATCACTTCTCAAGCTCAGAGACCTGCAAACACATGTGAAGGTCAATCAATGGGCAGCCCCGTTCCTGTCCACTGGCCACACCAAGGCGTCCAGTGAGCGTGCTCCTGGAAGTGGATTTGGTACAGAAGAAGAGGTATCCCTCTTCTCTCCCATTCCTTCTCTCTCTCCTTCTTTCTCCACTCTTTCCTGTCTCTCCTCTCTCCATTTTTCTTTCCCGTCTCTATCTTCCTCCTTCCCCCTCTCTCCTCTGTCTCTGCCTCCTTTCTTGATCTGTCTCTCTCCATCTTTCTCCTCTCTCTTTCATCCCTTTCCCGTTTCCCCCCTCTGCTCTCTCTTCTTTCTCTCTCTGCGTCCCTCTCCCTCCTCATCTTTCTCATCTTTCCTTTCTCTGCTATCTCTCCACTCTCTCTGCTCCCTGTGTCTCTGACTCTCTCTACCTCTCCCTACCTCTCCCCTCTCTCCTCACTCCCTCATGATTAATTCTGATGGAACATGGAATGCAAGCAATAAAGACAGTGGGAATGGCTGGGTCTTATCTCCTTTTGCCTTTTTCAACACCAATGACCATCACCCAGGCACTTAATAGCCTGTGAACAAATAGCCTTTGTTCTTAGCCTGAAGCCCCAGGAAGGCAGCAGATGAGGCTCCAGGTTCATTAAAGCACTCTCTCTGCAGATGTACCTGTGTACCTTTGAGGTAGGATCCCCATGAAAGCGAAGGAGCCGGGGTGAGGGAGCCTGCCCAGGTTGGATTCTATGGGTCCTGCAGTTAGGGTAGCCTCTGCTACTTCCCAGCCCTGTAACCTTGAGCCAGCACTTTCCCTCATGTCTGCCTCAGTTTCCACATGAGTGCCTAGCTCAGATGGTGAGGGAGGAAGGAAACAGTGCAGCACAGGGCTTAGCTCAGAGCACCTGACAAGCTGATGTTCAGTGGAGCAGCTTGCTCCTCACGCTCCCAGTGGTACCCTGATAACTCACAGCTGCAAGAGTGGGATTCAGAAGCGGCATCCAGCTGTCCAGCCCTGGTAGGGGAATGGCCAAATCAAAAAGCTGCAGTGTGGTGCCGGGAAGAATGTATATCCTGGAAGCCTGCAGAACCAGGCTCTGCCACAACCTGAGGCAGAGTCTTCACACTTCTGAGCTTCTGCTTCCTCAGCTTGAGAAGGTGAAGGTAGGGTGCTCAAATATAGAAGTGAGGATGTGTGTCCCGCAAGTGCGCCAAATGCACACATGGTCCTGAGGCTGTGATCCATGACGGGATCATCACACCCTCATCTTCCTCCTGCTCCCCTCACCCACTGAACCTGCTACCTGCAGACCCATGGTGGGAACTGCTGAGAACCTGCCTGCTTTCTGCTGAGGGTCTGTGCTCCCAGGCAGAAACCAGGGCCACCGAGTGAAGCCCCACTCCAAAGGTGACATCGGAGTGTCAGGTTCTGATTTGGTGTGGAGAAGTAGAGTTCTCTCACTGAGTAATGGGGTTCTGAGCTGCTGCTGGGGATCTTAAGCCTCATGCCTGTTGGGCACGAAGCCAGCTCCAGGAGCCCATTGAGTGTGCCTAGTGACAGTGTGGAGTGTGCCCTGAACAACTTCTGGTCTGGGATGTCCCATGGACCTGGATTTGGTGGGGTCCGTGAATGTCCCTCTGAGACGGCCATTCCGTCGCTTCTCAAGGGACAAGTGGCTCACAGCTGGTCTACATTGCCTGTCCTGTGGAGCTCCCTGGTCTTGGTGGATGTTCTTGCAAAGGGAGCCCATTGAGTTCCCTGGGTACTGAGCCCATCCGGGCTGCAGCTTCCCCATCCAACATCCCACAGGCAAACCTGCTCAGAGCCTCCTTTCTGGCGCTAAAGCTGTGTCATGTGGAACTGACTTTGACCCCCTCCCTGCTCTCTTTCTCCTGCTGTCTCTTCCCATTGCCCACCCAGAGCCTCAAACCAATGCCTGTTAACTAATTGGTTTCCCTTCCTTCCCCACCTCAACCCCAGCACCCTAGCCCTGGCCTTCACCAGAACAATGCACTCCCATACCCTTCTGTAGCTCTACTGGCCCCCAAGAATGGTCATGCTTCACATGAACCAACTTGGTGCTCCCAGGATGATGTCCTACCCCATGGGGCTCCCCTCAAACTCCCTACTCTCTACTGAGAGACAGAGTCCCAAAATGAAAGCCAGACAGACCTCTTCCCTTCCTACTTGATTCCCCCCCCCCAAGTCTGCATTCTCATAAGAACAGAATCCACAGGTCATGCACTCTGGCCCCATACCCACCCAGCTTCACCTCACACCTCCTTCCTGCCCCCATTCTGCCTCTCTCTGCCTCTTTGTCTCTATCTGTGGTTCTGTCTCTGTTTCTCCACTGTCAGCCTCTGTGTCTCTCTCTCTTTGTATCTTTGTGTCTCTGTCTATCTCTCTCTATGTCTCTCTGTGTGTCTCTATCTATCTGGGTGGCCTGGCAGAGGGATAGGCCGAGGGTGTTAGCTGACCTGGAAGTCTGGAGTGATGTGGCCACAAGCATGGGACACCAGGCAGTGCAGGAGGCAGAAAGGACATGTCTCTGGAGGGAGCACAGCCCTACGCACGCTTTGGTCTTGGACTTCTGGCCCTCAGACTTGGGAAGGAATAACCAAATGTCTGTTATGCCAAGTCTTCCTACCTCTACCGCTGCAGAGCACAAAGCCCCCTCCAGTATGCAGGCCTGGCCACTTGACCTTCCGGCAGGGGGAGCAGAGGAGATGCATATGCCTACATCAGGCAGTAAGAAGAGCTAAGCAGAAAATGAAGAGGCCCAAGGGTGGCCGGGAGGATCTTGCCTCGGGGATCAGGGCTAGTGTCCTGGTTAGCTTTCTGTTGCTGTGATAAACACCATGACCAAAAGCAGCTTAGAGAGGAAAAGATTTATTTGACTTACACATCCTGACCACAGATCATCACTGTGGGAAACCAAGGCAGGGACCAGGAGGCAGGGACGGAAGCAGAGGCCATGGAGGGGCTCTGCTTGCTGATTTGATCAGGATTTTTTTGTTTTTTTGTTGTCTTTGTTTCGTTTTCTCATACGACCCAAGACCACCTGGGACACACAGAGGGCTGGACCCTCCCACATCAATTATCAACCAAGATCATGCCACACAGACTTCCTACAGGCTGAGCTAATGGAGTCATTTCTCAGTTGAGGTTCCCCCTTAACAATGACCCAAGCTTGTGTCACGATGACAAAACCTCACCAGTATAGAGAGCTTCCCAACAGGAAGACATCTAAGCCGCCGAGGTGTGAAGGACACTACTGAGTTTCTGACAAGTGACAAAGGTGACTATAAGATGAGATAATTAAACAAATTATATATATGGAGATTTTATATATATATATATATATATATATATATATATATATATATATATATATATGCATGCCAGGAGTTGTGGCACACCCCTTAATCCCAGAACTTAGGTGGCAGAAGCAGGTAGGTCTCTGAGTTCGAGGCCAGCCAGGTCTACAGAGGGAGTTCCAGGAAAGCCAGGGCTACACAGAGAAACCCTATCTGTATAAACAAAAACAAAACAAAATACAAACAAACAGAAAAAAATTAACAACAACAAAAAAAGATCAGAAACCCACCAGAAAGTAGGTGGCTTTGGTTGTGAACACTGGTGGTTGGGTGGTGGACCCACAGGATCTGCTGCTGGGCTGGTTGTGAGGACTGAGAGACCCTGAGGGCTCTGAGAGCTGAGCTCCTGTGTGCCCAGTTACAGCCACAGAAGAGCAAACTCGCTGTCGGTGGCATGGGAAAGAGCAGGGCAGGGCTGAGGTGGTTGGAGTGGACCTGCAGACGTGGGAGTTACTCAGCCCAAGAGAGCTGCCGGCTGCAGGCCGGGTGTGAGTCTATGATTCAGGGGAGAGACTGTTCAGGCATGAAAGGATGTGAGTACTGAGAGGAGGGGGCAGGACCCGGCAGAGAGCACTGAGGCCTGAACTCAGGGTCATCTCAATCTTTAATGACGGCAGGTTGGTGAAACCACAAAGAGCTGAGGAGGGCTAAGAGGGCCTGAGGGTATAGAAAGGGAAGCTGTGCCCAGTCCAGGGGCAGCCATGGCTCCTTGGAGTGGGTGGCGGCCACTGTGGAGACACTGCAGATAAAGTCATTGCTAGATTGTAGACATTGCTGGTAAACTTGTCTGCAGTGGTCCTGAGAAGCAAGACTTGCCACTGAGGAGACTGGGAAAAGCAGCAACTGACTCAGTCAGCGGTGACCCGCAGCTCTGCACAGGGGTCTAAGAGGTGAGCATGGCGGATGCTGGCCGGAAGGGTGAGGCGCACTTAACTGAAGGTGGGCAAACAGCTATGTGTCGGTGCTGATAGAAATGAACAAGTGGAGACGAGAGGCTGGTCTCCTGGGACAGAGCTCACCTATCTACAGAATGAAGTGGAGGAAGGCCCAGCTTGTGGTCACGGAGCGGAGGTGGGGTGAGGCATCAGGCTCCCCAGAGAGCACCCAGTTAATTTTCCCCACAGTAGCAAGAATAAAGAGTTGGGGTTGGAGGGAGTGAACTTGAGTGGGAAGGAAGGTCGAACAACTTCTAGGGTACCTGGGACCCCTTGAGCTGGGAGGCCGGGACAGCAAAGTGGGAACAGAATTCATAGTGCCTGCTCTGCTATCTGGGAGCAGGGGATGGAGGACAAGAGACTGAGCTCAACATAGCCCCGTGTGGCCAGGAGGACAAGGACGGTAGTGATTAGGCAGGAGTTGCTGTATCATGGTGCTGGGTAGGGCAAGAATCACCCAGAGGACTGAAACATCCCAGCCCTTCCTCAGGCCAAGGATTCAATAGGAGCGTGTAGGTTACTGCTTCATGACTAGCCCAGATGAAGGGCTAAGAACTGCAAATAATTGGGATGATGGGTGGAGTCTTCATGACCATAGCTGTCAATCCTGCAGAAATAGCACACAACACATAGGGGTGAAAGCAGACATCCCATCTTTCCCTGATGGCTTCCAGATAGAAACAGCTGGTCATAATGCCCAAGTCTGTTGTCCTTGGTATGAGCCCATCTGCCTTTGACCCTTTCTTCAGCCTGCCCTCGGCATAGTGCCTGTCAAATAGTACATTTCCGATAAACAAACGTTATTCAGGAGACCCAACTTAACAAGCTCGGTCAGAGGAGGCAGAGCAGAAAGCTGGGAACAGCAGGCTGCATGGGGTACCTAGCTCAATTGCACCACGACAATGGGAAGCTGGCCATCCAAAGGCTCTGGTCTTGGTTCTGGTGGCAAAGCCCATCGAAGCTGGACAGCTGGGAAGGTTTCAGGCCCCATTTGCTAGGAAATTCGAAGAGAGGACAGGGAGTTAGTGCCGTTACCTTGGCAACACTCTGTCACATTATAATGAGGCTCAGTGGTAGCAGGAAGCCTAGCTTAAAGGAGTACAAAGTATATCGATTTGCTGGTGTCCTGAGGAGGCACACCAGGCAAGCTGGCTGGTCCATCAGGAAGACAGCGGGTGAGGTAGTTAGGGAGCTGGGAAGTGGGACGGAGCAAGCTGGCCCTGGCGTCGGGTAACCCTGGTGGCTGGGCACCCACTGAGTCGTGACGGAGACAGCACAGATTCAAGGCTGGCTTGGGGAAGCTAGAGCTACCCAAAGTGCGAGCCCTTGAGCCTAGGCAGGAAAGCCTTGTATCTGGAGTTGCATGAGGTGTGGCAGCCTGGAGGACTGAGCCACCCTGAGACAGGGTGGGTCCGAAAGAAGCCAGTGGGCAGTGGGACAGGAAGGGACTGCATCCACCCTAACACAGAAGTTGGGCGAACCAGCATAGGCTTCGACCTTGACAGCACAAGCTGAGAGAAGGGCCAGGCGTGGAGCACTAAGGACCACAGGGAGGAGAAACTGAGCACATGAGCGGCTAGCCTTCAACACAGGACGGACAGAGTCCAAGTGAGGATGTGGGGTGGAAATTCACGGGCCCCCATCCAGTGGCAATCTTCATAGATGTCTTTCCCCACGATGATGAACTCGAGGGAAGCCAGTGGCTTTGGCTCTGCTTAATTCTCTCCTTGCTTTTTATTCAGCTACAGTGTAATCCTGTTGGCCTCTGTGTCTGTAGGTCCCCAAGTCCACAGGTAAAAAACAACCCCTGGGAATGGGAGATTAGAGAGGTGGGCTAAATGATACAGTATAATAACTGTTATACAGTTTTACATTGCACTGAGTATTAGAAACAATATAGTGATGATTGGCAGTATGTGGAAGGAAAAACAAATATGATGAATCAATTAAAAACATAAAATTTCAAAAATTGAAATAGGGGACCAGAGAGGCTCAGCTGTTAAGAGCCATTGCTGCTCTTTCAGAGGCCTGGAGTTATGTTTCCAGCAACCACTTTGGATGGCTCACAACCACTTGTAACTCCAGCTCTAGGAGATCTGACACCCTCTTCTGTCCTCCATGGATAACTGTGCTCCATGGACACCTGCACAGACACATAATTAACAATGATACAAACCAATCTTAAAAATTACAATACATAAAGCTGAAAACATTGACTAAAATAAGCAAGGCAGTAAGCTATGCAGGAAAGTGTGTACAAGTCATAGGCAAACTTCACACCACTGTGCGAGGGATGCCGAGTTTCCAGGCGGATCATGCAAGGCACAACCTCACTCTCTCCCTGTTTCCAGCCATCCCTGAGTGCTGGGCAGAGCTGGGTGTCACACTCTCCTTGCTCCATTGGGTGGACACAGTGGGGAACTGATCACCCACTCCACAGGCAAGGGTGGGTGAGACACCCAAAGGTGACCAGCCAGGATCACAGCTGCTCCTGAGAGGCAGGGCTGGATCAGAACCTAGGTCCTGAGGCTGTAAAGACCACAAACTCCCAATCTTCTGTTCATGTGCATGAAAGAATGGACGCGTAAGAACCAAGTCGTACCTCAGTGGTTCTGGGGGTGGACTTTCTTGATGCTAACCTCATTGTATTATGTTTTTTTTTTCAAATCATGCAATAAAACTATGTGTAAGTTCTCTCTCTCTCTCTCTCTCTCTCTCTCTCTCTCTCTCTTTCTGTGTGTGTGTGTGTGTGTGTGTGTGTGTGTGTGTGTGTGTGTGTTTGTGTGTGTGTTGGGTATGGAACCCATGGCCCTGTACCTGCTCTATCATTGAGCTACCTCTAGAGTGTGTAAGTAATTTTTTAAAACCAGTTTTATCAACACTAACACCCATTCTACACAAGTCTTCCATTTAGAGTGCTTGCTGTTCTTCCAGAAGACCTGAGTTTGGTTCTCAGTGCCCACATCAAGAGGATCACAACCACCTGTAACTCCAGCTCCAGCAGACCAATGCTCTCTTCTGGCTTCTGCAGGGACTCTCATACAACACACACACACACACACACACACACACACACACACACACACACACACAAATAAAAATAAATAAATAAATCTGAAGTGTGCAAGTCAAAGGTTTTGAGTCTATGACATTATTATATTTTTATTGGGGTAAGAATATATCCAATATATAACATTTGAAGTGTACAATTTAGCACCATGAATGAAAGAGTCACCACTCTGTTCAGCCATTGCCTCCATCTTCAAAACCTTTCTCATGGCCCCAAACATGACTTTGTTCTCAGTAACTATTCCTTACTTCCCCTTCCTTCAGCTTTGGTAATGCCTAATCTCTCTTCCGACTCATGAGCGTGTGTGTGTGTGTGTGTGTGTGTGTGTGTGTGTGTGTGTGTGTGTGTATGTGTGTGTGTGTGTGTGTGTGTGTGTGTAGGCCTGAGGTCACCATCAGGTATCTCCACCACTCACTCCCCATCTCTCACTGTACCTGGAGCTCTCATGGACTGGCTGGCTTGGCTGACCATCAAGCTGAGGGATCCCACTGCCTCTGCCTCCCTGGCACTGGATTACAGGCTTGCCCAGCTTCTTACGAGCATGCTGGGGATCCGAACTCAGGCCCCCAGGCTCCTGCAGCAAGTGCTTTGCCAACTGAACCATCTCCTCAGCCCATTTGTACTTTTCAAATTACACAACCATCTGGCCCAGCCACTCCATTTCTAGGAATCAAAAGCAGCACCTGAGGCAAGTGTTCACCCTCAGCTTCACAGCAGCTTTCTGCCGCAGCCGAGAAGGGAAACACCCAAACACAGGAATAATCCCTGAACAAGCAGACAGAGAGAGAAGCAAGGTCCACCCCCAGAGCCACGCCCGGTGAAACACTGTTCAACAGTGAAAAGGAGGAGCACTTGCCAGATGCTACCATGGGGATGAACCTCACCCAGCCACTGGAGGACCAATATCAAATGACATTATTTTTGTGCCACTGGACCTAAAAGAGGCCATCTTGTGGCCTACTCATGATCCAAAGCACAGACCAGGCCTGCTTCCCTGCCAGAGTCTGCTCTCAAGAGCTTGGAGTGACCCTGGCAAAGCCCCTGCTGATGCCCACACAGGAACTGACACCTCATCTTGCTTGGAACTATCTGGGTAGGTCCCACACCAGAGCCCCTATGTCCTCACCTGCGGCGTGAAAGCCTGGGGCCACATCCCTCACCGCTCTGCTATTTGCTGTTGGGGATTTTCTTTATGGAGTTCATTTCCCCAAGACTGAAAACAAAACGATGGGAACAAATCAGCTGAGATGCCTCCGAAGCCTTCAGCTGCCTGAGCTTCTCAGCAAGCAGAGGTCCTTGGGGACTCCTCCCCCAAAGTGTACAATTTAAGTGGAAGACAAGCCTGGCCCCAAGACAAGCTCCCCACAGTCTACAGCTTTGGGTACAAGAACATGCATAAAGGGCATTTCCACCCTAGCTGGGGACTCTGGGGCCAAGGGAAGGGACAAGGACAGGTAGACCCCAGCCATGGACCCTCTTGGGTGCTCCTTTCCTGACCTATGGCTCTAACAAGGTATCTAGAGGAAAGAAGGCGTGACGAGGACAGACCCCCACAGCATGCATGTGGGATCACACCCCCAACCCAGCCCCCACCTGGGCATGAAGCAGAGCACCTCTCCCTATTCACACTTCAGCCCCTACCTGACCACGTATAGGGTCAAGGAAAGGCCTCTCCCAGTCTTGGGTGACCTGACTCCTCACTGTTTCTGGAAATATCCTTGCCAACCTGCTCCTTAAGGGTCGCCTAGGAGGGACCTATGCAGCTTATGGGCCCGGCGTCTGAGGATGCCACTCCACCCATCCCCGACACCTCCCCTCACCACCCTCTCACCACTCAGTGGTCCCTGACTCAGTCTCCAGCACGGGTCTCCAGAGCCCCCCTTGGCTAAAGGCCGCCGGGATGGAGTTGTCTGGCCCAGTTCAATTTCCCCCGCCTTTTTGATGTCACATCCTGTCCCAGCCTGCCTCCCCGCCGGTCGCCGCCCTCCCTCCTCCCTTCCCCGAGCGAGCTAGGCGCGCCGGTCCCTCGGCGCCGCCCCCGCCCGCGCCCCTCACCGAGCAAACTTTTGGCATCGCTGCAGCCCGGGCGCGCCGCCGAGCTCCGCAGGGCGCGCCTCTCCGCCGAGCCCGGGCGCGCGGGGACCCGCCTGGCGCGCGGGGAGAAGCAGGCGCAGCCCCCGCCCCGCCGGCCCAGCCCTGCCCGAGAGGCAGTCGCTCCGGAACCGGGACCATAAATATGCAGAGCCGAAGCTCAGCGCAGCACAGCCCGCGCGCCGCCCGCCCCGGCTGCTGAGCAGGCGCCGCCGGAGCCCGAGCCGCGGCCGGAGCCCCAGCCCCAGCCCCAGCCAGGAGCGCGTCCACGTCCCCGCAGCTGCCAGCCGCCAGCACCCAGGCCCCGCACGCCAGGACGTCGGAGTGGCCGCGAGACATGCAACCGGCCCGGAAGCTCCTCAGCCTCCTGGTCCTCCTGGTGATGGGCACCGAACTCACCCAAGTACGTGTGACCAACGCCATTTTCCTCTGCCAGGGCCACCGAGAGCCGGGCAAAGTCGGGGAGCTGTCCCCGGGGCTGGGGCTGAGGAGGGGACCCGAGTGCCATCCGGCCGGGGCTTGAGGGAGGGATGCGGGCCGATCTAGACGGGTTTCCGCAGCGCTGGCTCTGCGGGGCACAGCAGCCCCTCTCTCAAGACCACCTCCCCACTCCTGCTGAGAAGTTCAGAGGGCAAACTAGGGTCTTCATTTCCTGGGTTTGTCATCTGGTAGGGAAGACAGAGGTGACAGCCAAGCCCCCAGGCATTCTTGCCAGCGGAGGTACTTAACTCCTGCCTCCCAACACACCCCCCTCGGTGGCCCGTCTGTCCCTTTGGGAACAACGCTACCCTCTGCACGGTGGGCATGGTGCCACCAAGCCCTGGAAGGGCAGCTGCAAGGCGCTTGGGTGCATTGTTGGCTGGTTGTGGAGGATTTGGGGGCTGTGACCACACGCGGCTAGAAGCATGAGTGATGTGCTGTGTGCATGTGGGACGGCTGGAGATGCCCAGCGCTCATCTGTCCAGAACAATGTACCAACCGAAGTGTGTGTCTGGGAGGGTATTCTCCATTTTAAAATTGCAGCTTGGGAGGCTGTGAGCTCTCAGCTGGGAGGCTGTTTTGCTACTAGGGTGCTCGTGCTCACGGGAAAGAGCCTGCCAGCTTTTGGGCTGCTCAGGAGTGACATTAAAATGCCCTTTGTGTGATGCCACTGTGCCTTGATCTGAGTTGAGCCCCCCACCCTTGGCAGTCGGAAGTCCAGGATGTGGATGACAGCCCACCTTTTGGTCCCAATCCCAGCTGCCTGGACAATCTATCCATCTCTCAGAATGAGAGGAAACAAAGGAGAGAGGAGAGACCAGAGAGCAGGAGGAAGACTCTGGAACAGGCTTCCCTTGTTCACCTGGAAGACCTTGCTGGCTTGGTTGGCTCTGTCCAGGTCACACAGTTCAAACTTGACCTGACAGTGGGATTTGTTGCCCCATTCACCCTTTGTGCCTTTTGCTTGGGGCGTCCTGGACAGACAGTTACCCCTAGAGAGGGTCTTTGTGGAACTCTGGGAAAGGAGCTTCTTTGGCCCCTCTGGGGAAAGCCTGGAGGAGGGTGCTGGCTGGGCATGGTGTATGGATGGATGAATGAACACACACACACACACACACACACACACACACACACACACACACACACACACACACACACACACACACACACACACACACACACACACACACAAATCCATGTGCCAAAAAGAGCCACACAGATCTTTCTAACCTTACAAAGGACAATCCTTTATTGACATATCTTGGCATAGAGATGGCTGGTCCTGGGTAGTCTTGAAAGTGACTATCCCCATAGACCTTCCAGCCTTAAAGCCTTTTTTTTTTTTCCTTCTGGGCACACTGGGCCTCCACTGCCTGACTACAAGCTCTTCCTCCCTAAATCCTCTACCTGTCTTTTCAAATATCTGCTGTTAGAGGGAGAAACTTTTAGTTCAACTTCAGATAGAAGCTTTGTCTCTATGGTGGTGTCTGTTCCTCCGTGCTAACAGAGCCTGTTTCCAGCAAGGGGCCTCAGCAGACCTCCTACACAGGCAACACTGGCGTCTCAGGGCCCAGAAGGAGCTCCCTCCCGGAGGGCTGCCTTCAGGACCCTGGTCAGCTCCCGCAACCCCAAGCCTTCACGGTGCTTGAAAGACAATGAAATGATTTGCTTGCCTAGAGGGTTCTCTCTCAGGGGCTGAGCCCTGAGGTTCCTCTGAGAACAGCCAGATGCACTCGCTCCTCACTTCTCCTGCCCTCCTTGGGCTGGCCTCTGAAGTCTCCTTTGTAGAATCATGCCTGAGAAACCTGTTATCCCTGAAAGTGATGGGATTTCAGCACCAAGTCTCATGAGCCAAGATCTCTCAAACCGCCCAACCATGTTGAGTCTAGGAAGGCTCAGGTGCCTCTCCCCAGGTCAAGAGCCCCACTGGGATGGGGACAGGTGGTTCTTGTAGTCAGTGGTGACAACCTGAGATGTGAGTCCAGGCTTCACTGAGTCAGTTGGTCCCTTAGGATATCCATGCCTAGAAATCTGCTTTCTCAATTCTACTGTGACGAGAGACACTACTCAAACACCTTTGGGCCTCAGAAAGCATTCATATTCCACCACTCAGAAAGTGCTCCTCACAGTCGCACTTGCTTTCAGCTCTTCTAAACAGTGAGGACCCAAGATCCCAGGGTGGTGAGTGTGGACTGGTACAGGTGGGCATGGGAGCCAGTCAGAGATGGATGGGCCATCCCAGCCCATAATGAGGGCTGCCTTCAGGATCTAGGCAGGCAGGTGGGGCATAGCGCACGTGCTGGGCCATCTGTTCTCCCAGCAGCTGGCTCAGAATGATCCACTCAATCAAATGCCAAGTCCTGATTGACAGCTTGCTCCATGCAAAGCTGTGGCCCTCACGAACTTTGTCCTCAGACAGAAAGCGCTTTGGTGTGGCTTTGTTCTGTGGTTTTCAATAAAAGGCTGACATCCGTGCTCTTTGAGGGCAGTGTCAGTGACATCATCCTGAGCTTCCCGGTGGGGGCTCTGGGTTGTTTATTTCATTCCTGGGTTGGAGGCATGACTGGGGCTCCCTGTCCCAGGCCCATGCACAGCCACCCCAAGCCTCTGCTTACAAAGAAGTGTGGTCTGTGGGAGTCGAATAAGAAAGGCTGGGAAGCTCTGCAGCAATGACCTTGAACCCGGGGTTCTGGTCTTACTCTAGTCGCACTAAGCACTGACCAGGTGACCTTGAGTCAGGTCTCTCCCTCTCTGAGTCTGAGTTTCCATCTTTTTAGAGCAAGGACGATTAAACGGGATGACTTCATGGATTTCTCTGTCCCACAACCCCCCTGTCCGATTCTTGCATCTTCTCCACTCAGCAGCCCTCTTCTGTAACAAGCCTTTCTTGGCCATCAGCTGGTTGGATTTAACCCCTTCAGATATGGCCTCATGGTCACACACCAATCCAAGTCCTCATCGTCGTCACCTGGGGCAATACACTTTGTTGGAAGATGTGGAGCTCCGCCATGCCATTTAACACAAGTGCTGTCTGTGTCAAGTGCTCTAGAGGGGAACAGAAGAAACTGGGGAGAAGGGTGACACCCCAGCTGGGTACTAGAGTCATTTCTGAGTGACCCCCTAGCAGGAAGATAGGGAGGAGGATGCAGGAAGGAAGGGGGCTGGAGAGGCTTCTGTTGACAAAAGTCTCAGAAACCTTCCCTCCTGTACCCCATGCTCTGCAACTATGCTGGGGGGCTGCACCTCATCGGCCATCACGCCCAGCCCAGCGTGGCTTTCCCTAGCAGTGTCACTGACAGACACCCTAGTGAGGCCAAAGCTGTCCGTGCTTATAGAACTTTCCCTCATGCCAGCTATTGCTGTGAGTGTTGTTCCATTTCTGTCCTTACTGAGTTACTACTGCGCACTTGGTCCTAGATTCTGATGGACTGTTCATCACTGTAGATGCTTGCACCTTGGCCTGCACCGGGCACCTGGCTACACCTAGGTAGTTCTGTGGATGGGACAGGTAGGGACAGAGCAGGTGATGTTAACTTCCCCTTTCAGAATCCCAGTAAGCCTGAACAGGGGGTATTATGGACACCTTGCGCATCTGCACAGCCCCTCCCCTCACTCCAGCCCCTCATCTGCCTTCTTCACACAGCATATGTGACGTGGAAGAACAGGGAGCCAGGCAGGACTGGGCTCTTTTCCTGCAGCTGTCATTTTAGAACACACAGAACTTACTCACTGGGCACTGCCTCAGGGGCTGGTGACACTTCTCACCACAGTTGGAGGCTCCCGAGGCACAGCACTCTGATACCTGGACCTACCTTGCTGATAGGGAAGCAGAGTACTTTAAATCCCTCACCCTCATAGCGATTTGCTTCTCATTCCCACCTCAGCTTTCTCCAATCAAGAGCTGGTGGTTGTCTGCCTTGGGTAGTATTTATTGCTAAAGTTATCAGGCCCTGTAATCAGTATTAACATCACCGTGTAAGGCAATACAAAACTAATTACCAGCTACACTGAATTAGATGCGGGGGTGGGGGGGTGGGGGGGAGCTGTGAGCCCGAGCTGGGCTGGTGGGGAGAAGAGGCAGCTTCCGGCCTTGAGAGGGTGTGGATGCTGTTTCTGTGCAAGTTGGCAGAGACCAGCAGCCTTTGGCTAGTCCCACCTCCAGGTGACTGAGGTCAGCACTGTGTCCAATGGAGGGTGGGAGATGGAAAGTAAACCCTCCCCCTCACTCTTTTTCAGATTGTTACACATAGAGAGGCTCAGGGTGTGGGAGGTCAGCCAGCCGGCTCTGACATCCTCCTGTCTGTAGGCTTTTCATATCATAATGTCTCTATGGCCTGGGGTTGCCCTCATTCTCCAAATGAGAGGACCCTGAGGCTCAGGGAGGGGGAGAAATCTCT